AGTGTTGAGGCCAAATAATAACCATAACACTATTTTCCATGTAACCTCAGAATCTTCAAGGTACGTTTTGGTTAAGCTGGGTGGTGACTGCATGTGGCCTTTCTTGAGAAGTGGCTTCTTTTCTTGCAACCCTCCCATACAAGCCACATTTGTGAGGGATTTGTGATATTGTTGTCTCATGCACACAATAACCACTTTTTGTCATAATTTCCTGCAACTGATTCAGAGTTGCCGTAGGCCTCTTAGTAGTGGCTCTGACCAGTTTCCTCCTGGCTCTTTCATCCAGTTTGGAAAGACGCCCTGATCTAGGAAGGGTCTGTGTTCTGCCAAATACCTTCCACTTCTTAATAATTGACTTCCCTGTGCTTCTAGGCATTGATAAAGCCTTTGGATTTTTTTTGTATCAGTCTCCTGACTTGTGGCTGTCCACAACTTTATCCAAGAGATCTTTTGACAGTGTCTTGTCACCCATAGTTGATAGTTTGCTTCAGTTACACTACCAGGTACTGAAATGCTACAGGAAAGCTCTTTTCATGCTGAGCAAAGTGACCACTGCTGTTCAAAGCTGAAAGTCAAATGGCTTTGTGTGCTGTTGAGAAGGTGATTAGCCACACCTGATTGAGTTTAAAATTCATTTTTTTAGGAGGGGGGTGATCCTTTTTCCAACTCAATGATTCTGGTTTTGAATTTTGAATTTTGGCTGACATGTTGGCGTTATAGGAGTAAATACAGCTCGATAAAAACACAAACTTTGTCTGTTTTCAATTCAGGCTGCGAAGCAACAAAATTTGATTATTTTAAAGGGGGGTGATTCTTTTCTATACCCTATGCGGCAGCTGGGCAGGTAGGCTTTAAAGATGAACCACCCACATATGCATTCCTGAGGAGCAGCTTTATGTGCTCACAGCATGCTATCACAGACCGCTCCTGATCATTGCTTACAATTGGGAGAATTGATCATGAGACTGCTGTGATAGTCATGTGGTATTTTCCTCTCGCACACTATAAAGAATTGACCATGTGATTAAAAGAGTACTGCAACAACTCCCAACTCGTCACGATGTACAACATGGATACAATATGTTGCCAGCACACCGACAAGCTTGCTTCAAAGTGCAAAGCTCTTTATTCTGGTATGATCACATAAAAAAAAAAAAAAATAATCATTTTGGAACCACTCAGGGAGCCTTCCTCAGATGTGTGATATACAACAAACAGAGCAGGCATATCAAGTAATTATCGATCAGTAGGAAAGAGGACCTTCCAGTGTCTCTGACCCCATGTGTCAAAAAGCTTGGCACTTTGAAACAAGCTGACCACTGTGCTAGCAACATATTTCATCCATGCTGTAACTAACAATAATTATAATAATCATGAATAATATTCGGGAATCCTGCCTCTGCCTATTAAAGGGCCAGGGTGTGGTGGTGGCGAGATCCTGTTAAAAGGGCCAGGGGGTGGTGGTGGTGAGATTCTGTTAAAGGGCCAGGGGGGGTGGTGTGGTGAAATCCTGTTAAAGGGCCAGGGGGTGGTGGTGGTGAAATCCTGTTAAAGGGCCAGGGGGTGGTGGTGGTGAAATCCTGTTAAAGGGCCAGGGGGTGGTGGCGAGATCCTATTAAAGGGCCAGGGAGTTGTGGTGAGATTCTTTTAAAATGCCAGGGAGTGGCGGTGGTGAGATCCTTTTAAAAAGGGCCAGGGGTGGGGGTGGGGAGATCCTGTTAAAAGGGCCAGGGGGTAGTGGTGGAAAGATCCTGTTAAAGGGCCAGGGGATGGTGGTGGCAAGATCCTGTTAAAGGGCCAGGGGATGGTGGTGGAGAGATCCTGTTAAAGGGCCAGGGGATGGTGGTGGAGAGATCCTGTTAAAGGGCCAGGGGATGGTTGTGGAAAGATCCTGTTAAAGGGCCAGGGGATGGTGGTGGTGGAAAGATCCTTATAAAGAGCCAGGGAGTGGTGGTGGAGAGATCCTGTTAAAAAAGGGCTAGCGGGTGGTGGTGGTGAGATCCTGTAAAATGCCAGGGAGTGGTGGTGGTGAGATCCTGTAAAATGCCAGGGAGTGGTGGTGGTGAGATCCTGTAAAATGCCAGGGAGTGGTGGTGGTGAGATCCTGTAAAATGCCAGGGAGTGGTGGTGGTGAGATCCTGTAAAATGCCAGGGAGTGGTGATGGTGAGATTCTGTAAAATGCCAGGGAGTGGTGGTGGTGAAATCCTGTTAAAGGGCCAAAAGCCTGTGAGGCACAGGTCACATGAAAGAAGCATTATGTTTTTAATACTGTATACCAACACTTGAAAGTCATTTTGAAGGTACAGTGAAGCATGTGATTGGACTAGGAATCAGTGATGTCATCAAGGTACTCTAGACATCTGTGTGGTCCATGAAATCACTGCAATACTTTCATATACCAATGCAGAAAACAAATAACCAAATATCATAATTCTGGCAGATATAGGTTCCATTTCTGAGAGAGATTATAAAAGACATGTATAATGTTCCAGGCTAATGTGTTTTTAGTTTTGTTTTTGACTTACTATACAATTACTTAAAGAGTACCATCAAATATACTTTTTCAGGTTAAGTGCATGCAAGTGTACCTCGGTGTGAGATCATAGTACTTCCCCTGACACCACATCCATGTTCTCTACAGAAGTACCACACTATCTTTGTTCAGGCATCATCCAAGATTAGCATCTACTTCCTGGACTGAGATGCAGGCTTAGAAATGATGTAATTATGTAAATCTTGGTGCCTGTGCTAGTCTTGGCTGTGTTCACAAATGTCAGACATAGACCAATGCTTATATAAAACTTTTCTTATAGATAAAGAATCCTAAATCTCAAAACACACCCCACTCGTATAAACAAATATTCAATAAACAAAAGTTCAATAAATGTTCAATAAAGTCTCTTTACTTCTTCTTTTCCACGAAAAAATTCTTTTTCTCAACACCCGTACATTCTGATGCCCATATACCTCAAAAAGAAAAAACTATACATAGTGTCATACCTTTTTAGTAATCAAAAACACACGTGCCCTTAACAATGCAGCATGCAATACTTGTGAAACACTCCAAAAGGAGAGAAAAAAAAAAAATAATAATATTAACTCTCTGTGAATATTAGCATATATATTATTATAGATCTCTATATCATCAAATCTATAACCAGTGCGACATACACATATCACATCCACTATGTGAATCTGTGACACTTATAACACTGCAACTTAGTGACACCGCACTTAATATATGAAGTGATCAAACACACATCCCCAGCCAAAAAACGTGATCTCCAACTCCTGTGTAAGATGGATAATTACCCTATATAACCAAAACCAGGGCTTGATATAGGTCTCCTTAGATGTAGAAATCCATCCAATATTAGGTCCAATAAAGTGATTTGACTTCCATTCTCTTCATAAGAAAATCCAAGTTACATATGGTAGATTCAATAAATGACAGCCTTTATTCAACAACTTACATTGCAGTAAGATTACACCAGCTCCTCCTCATCGAGATGTACAAGCAGACAGACTCGGGAACACTAGCCACATGTTCCCACTTCCAAGATGGCCGCGATCGCACTTCCTGTTAACGTCGATGCGTCTGACGTCACGTGTTCTTGACGCGTTTCGTCACTTCCTGTGACTTTTTCAAAGGATACAGATGTCTGCGCATCAGCCCCTTATATACTGCCCTCCAGCCATGACTAACGTCACAGATCGCCATCTTGGAAGCTGGAAAACAGCCGCCCATACCTATCTGCATGCCATCCCACTCTCACCGAATCACATAAAATATTGGGAACGATTCATCACAGATTATCCACCTCTATGTATGCCCTATCCCTGGAGTACATAATGTATGTAGAGATCTATAATAATATATATGCTAATATTCACAGAGAGTTAATATTATTTTTTTTTTTTTTTTCTCTCCTTTTGGAGTGTTTCACAAGTATTGCATGGTGCATTGTTAAGGGCACGTGTATTTTGATTACTAAAAAGGTATGACACTATGTATAGTTTTTTCTTTTTGAGGTATATGGGCATCAGAATGTACGGGTGTTGAGAAAAAGAATTTTTTCGTGGAAAAGAAGAAGTAAAGAGACTTTATTGAACATTTATTGAACTTTTGTTTATTGAATATTTGTTTATACGAGTGGGGTGTGTTTTGAGATTTAGGATTCTTTATCTATAAGAAAAGTTTTATATATTATTCTGTAACCTTCAAGGGTGGAGGTAGACTACTTTTCTGGGTATTTTTTTTTGGTGTGTGCTTTGTATTTGAGAAATATATAGACCAATGCTTGCTGTAGCCTCTCCCTATGTGGCTCAGTACAAAGTTGCAATGCTGTAGTCTGTTCAGTGGGGAAGGGAAGACAGAAGATATGCTTCCTCTTGCCTGCAGCAGACTGATGACATCATCTCACCAAAATCACTAGACTTGAGCTTAAGAATGGTTTTTGAATGATAAAAGGTATGGCTTTGGCAACTACTACAGACAAAAACTGAAGAAAATCAAAGTGTATGTAAACCCTAACAATGATCTTATTTTCTCTTTTTTGGTGTGTTAAATATACCACTAAAAGTGTTTTGTAATATCGGTTTGATAAGTGCAAACAAATATCTTTTGAGCCTGAAATCCAGACATTTTGAGCTGATAACTTATGTACACTCCATTTCTGCTGGCGGTTATCAGTCATTATTGTTTCCAGCTATCTTGAATAACTATAAAACACCACCTTCCTATGTTATGGCAAAGAGGAGAGAAAGAGATGTTCTCTAGCTCTGTCCTAGTGTGACAACCCTGTCCCTCTATAGGAACAGTGACCACCCATTGTCACCCAAAGACAGGAAAACGTGTTGCTTGCAAAATTACCAGGTAAAAAATAAAGCCTAAAAAAAAAGAAAACAAATGCAGCCACCAATCTATGGACTGATAAGCTGTGATAGATTACATTTTTGTTCTTGGGTTTAGGTATACACTTTAAGTCATATTACTTACATTATAAAGTGGAGTGCTAGTCATAACTTTATACTGCTTGCTGGGATCCATTTTATACAGGTGTCTGTCTGTTATAAAGATGGCTCGATCTTCTACCTTGTTAAATCGGTTCACCTGAGTAGTAGAAAACGGGTATAATCATACACTGTTGGGAGAGCAGCGACCATTAAAGAAAACTTGGCATAATTGGATAGAAAAAGACACATCCTTACTGCTCCTGTCTTGGTCACAGTCAGCAATCCCTAGTGTCTGCTAGTATCTGAAAAGGAGCGGTGATGTCACTCCTCTGGTCATGTGACAGTGCTGGGACCCACTGCCTGTCACAGGGAGGAGGTCACATGCCCCCATACTCAGAGGCACCAGGTATTGTCACCAGCTGCAACAGAGGCAGAGACAAAGAGACTGAGACTTTGCCCTAAATGAGCAAGGCCATGGTGTCTCTATAAGAAATAATTTAAATATTTATTCTTGAATGAATATAACTTTACATGCTCACTTACAAAACATTACATTTGCATCTTGATTTAGCTAGGATTACTGTATTTGGGGGAAACTCTTGAGCTGAGAGCCAGAGTGACCCCCAAGATCTGAAAGCTGTTGTCAAGTGCCTGACTCCATGCTGAAAATGCAGAAAGCACTTCAGCTCCTTCAAAAAGTGTCAAACAATTGTTTTGACTACTGTACTTTGCCATTTGTTACTCTTGTGCACAATCAGGAGCAGAGGTCATGTGTTAGATCCCACCTTGCCAACTTTTTTTTTTGTCACGCTGATCTGTAATCTGCAAACCTGCACAGTAGCATAATGTATGTATGAGCTGAACTCTCTCTCTTTATAGACGACAGGTTACATATATCACATATACTAGAGAAAAGTAAGAGGAAGCCAGAATCACCAAAGCAATACAACTTATTCTAGATACAAGTGTAACGGAGCCTCTCTCAACCTCATCAACTCAGAGGAGCCCTTGGAATACATTTCTGGTCTCAGGGAACCCATGCTAAAAATGACTATCTACAACCCATGAAACATTAGTGTGATAGTCAGAGGGAAGAATGCTCCTTACACTTGTGGTCATTGGGAAGAATTCCCCCTTACAGATAGCTAAAACGATCAATGGTGTCAGTGGGATCTTATCTGAGAGAGGCATTGAAATCTGGAGAAACCTGGTGGTAAGAAACCATGGTATAATGAATGCTTACTAGGTACAGTAAAAGCCTATTCAGCCAAGGTAAGGCAGAATGATCTGAATAATGTCCGCTATGAGAGTCTCACTGTATTCTCTATACAACTGGCCATACATCACACAGTTCCATAGTGGCATACCTTTCGTACACGACAGGAGAAGAGAGGCTGCATGAACTTGTCTTTCCTCTGCAGCTCATTAGCCCGGGATACGAACACCTCTGAGTCTTGGCTGTTCTCTTGTTTCTGATACAAGTAATAAAGGAAATTATTACAATTACAGCTTTACTATTTTTGCCTTCTGCCTTTTACAACTGCAGACCTACCAAAGCAAGGTAACTGCCTTCCCATCGTCTCTGTAGCCCCAAGTCAGCTCGCTGACCTTTGAGGTTCTCAAATGCAGCCACTTTGGCCTTGATTTTTGGTATGTCAGCGGGAGGTATAGTTTTTATTATGTGGTATGCCCTCCACCTGTAAACAAAGAAAGCTTTAGCTGCCATTTGCTGTAAATCATGGTAGAATTGTGCTTCATTTTGATCCAGCTGTTGTGCCTGTATACCTGTGGAAGGCTCTCTGCAGGAATTCCTGGAAGGAACGAAGCACCTTTGGAGGTGTAGGCCATTTGACATTCTTCCCATAATCCCTGCTGTTCCGAACACCATTAAACCTGCGGACAACCTCCTTGATGTAGGACTTTACTTTGTAGCGTCGGTAGTACCGCATTATTTTGAGGGCTGCTTTGGTTCTCTTATATTGCCAGCGAGCCAATGTTCCCCTCCACATCTAAACCAGGAAAGTGACAAAATCAGAACACTTACATTTTAAGGGGGTTGAGAAGAAGGAAACAAGTTGAAATTGTGCTTGGAAACATACAGTGTTCAACTGCATGCAAAATGCTAAATACATAACCAAAATACATGTATGCTGACTGGTTTAACTGCAATATTATTTGTAATTTTTGTATTGTGATGTAAACACATTCTGAACAATGCAAATCCAGATGGGTGGCAGTTCAGTCATTTAACTTCCTAAATCAGTTCTCAAGCCTCCTCGTTGGACAATTAATCAGTGTAATCACTTCTACCTAATGCAGTACCTGGCCCAGAAAACAATCTTACTATCCCAGAACGTAGTAAAGTGATCTAGCCGACTGCCATAAATGTATGTATGTAGAATGAGTGGCCAAAGTGGCAAATATTTAAGCATGTAAAACGTATTTGTTTTTCAGCCATGCATTTAACTTTCTGCCTAGGGCTACACTTTAATTTATGGTTCATAGATTTTTGATGATCATGCAAGTCATTTCATGATGATCATGCCCAATATCACAAACATGTTATACTTACCTGCTCTGTGCAATGGTTTTGCACACAGCAGCCCAATTCCTCTTCTTTTTTGGTTCCCCGCTGGTGCTCCTGGCTCCTCCCACCTGCCAAGTGCCCAATAGCAAGCCTCTTGCTATGAGGACACTCGGGCAGGCTTGCTTCCAAGCCGCACTCCTGTGAATGGACATTGATTGACAGCAGCAGGAGCCATCGGTTCCTGTTGCTGTGTGAGACAATGAGGACAAAGAGAGACCCAGGAGAGCTGGAGCTCTCATGCACATCGCTGAATCGAGATGAGACTCAGGTAAGTATAAGGGGGGCTGAGGGGAAAGCTGCACCCAGAAGGTTTTTTTACATGCATGAAGGTAAAAAATTTAGAATGCATGAAGGTAAAAAATCTTCTGCCTTTAGAACCACTAATTATTTCCTATTGCTTTTTATATTTTGTGAAGAAGCAAAAGGTGTTGGAGAGACTGGCAGACATTTTCAGGGATTTATTACCTAAAACTACAATATAGGCAAACATTTATGGACACCTGACCATCACACCTATATGAGTTTGTTTCAAAACCATGGGCATCAATGTGGAGCCTCATGGCTGGAAACGCAGAATTGTCAAAATGTCTTTGTACGTTATAGTAATAACATTACCCTTCAATGGAAAAACCTGAACTTGGTAAATTTGAGGGGTGTCCACGTACTTTTGGCAATTTAGTAGATGTGATGGTCAGATATATGTAAACATTTGGTCTTAAAGTTTATATCATACTGAGGAAAAGTGTAGGATACCCACTAAGATTTCACACAGAAGGTAAAACAAGCATCTTTACCTCTATCACTAGCTCACCTTCTGCAGGAAAAGAATGATCCTGATTAGCATCAAACTCCGCTTCTCTTCCAGGGAGAACAGGGTACGCGGGGTACGAATAAAAACCTTGGTTTTGCCGTAAGCAGCATCCTGGTGAAATCCACATTCCTCCAGCAGCTTCTGCACAGCAGCTTTATCTGAAGGCAAGTCGTGGTTAGGCCAGGTTAGCTGGGAGATCATCTTGTACCTGGATAAAGAGAAAACAAAAAACCAAACAAACAGTGGTGAGTAGGTGGTGAACAAGGGTGGTGCTTTTGGCACACAACTAGACAATACAAAACACATGTTAATGTTTACAACAAACAGAATAGTCTCCTGTGCACAAGTGAAGTAGCCTTGTTGATACACAACAGATCCTATGGAGAATCGCCCCTGGCCTTGCTGCCCTCCAGGACGTGGATGTCCTGTGACATCTAGGAAAAAACTAGACTGGTGCGCCCTCTCTTTCTGTTTTTTCCTACATGTTAATGTATATTATGTCCAGCAGAATGCAGACGGACGATAATTGTAATAAACAGTTCCACTTTTAAATTCGTTCTTAAAAGAGAACTATAGCGAAAGCCTCTTTGGCCATACTTCTCTTGTGGGTCACAGGATTACATTTTCTTTTGTACTCCTTTAACCCAGAGTCAGCTTATAGCCTGCCATTAGCTGACTCGGCAGAGCCAAGACAGACTTGGGCAGGATCATGACAGTAGTGTTGGGATTCACGCTGTTGCCTGATTGACAGCTGGCTTTGCCTTTCAGTACGTGGCTAAAACTGGAGCCAGCCATGCCCGCCCCCTCTCCAGCTCGGTGCTGGAGGAGCAGAGCGGAAAGAGGAGACCAACAGTCACTGCTCTCCACTTGGAGCAGACCAAGATCGGAGTTCTCGGTTTAAAAGTCTGCATGGGGCAGCTGAAGCGTCACACAGATGGAGGCGAGTATAGGTGTTTTTTTTTTTGTTATGTTTTTTTTTTAAGCCCATACTTCTCCTGTACCTCAATATATTTATAGACAGCTTTCTTGGAACTACAGCAATCTAACAAATTCAGAGTACAATCTTATGCCAAAAGCAGTGACTATGCCTGGGCAAAAACATCAGGCCACCTGCTTCTACTAACAGTCCCAAATTTTAATTTAACATGCTAATTTTTTTTTAAAATGCAGATTATTAATGATATCTTAATGACATTCTATTTTCAGATTTTTTTTTCCAACAGATTTTAAAGCGGAATTCCACCTGAAAAAAAAAAAAAAAAAAAAAAAAGTCAGCAGCTAAAAAAACTGTAGCTGCTGACTTTTAAAATACAGCCACTTACCTGTCCCTCGGTCCAGCGGTGTCCTCACTACCACTGATTTCATTGGTCGTCTTCTCTCCCTGGTGCCGGCATCTTCAGTGTGGGCACCCAACTGGGACAGCTTGCCGCCAGACAACTTACACTTCCAATCACCTAGGCCAGTGGTGGGCAACCTTTTTTTTTCAACTGAGCCAAATCTCGCCAAAACCACGATTGAAATTTATTTTGAGAGCCACATTTTTAAAACTGAAAATACATCCCCCATATAGTAATTCATCCCCCATAGTAATTCATCCCCCATAGTAATTCATCCCCCATATAGTAATTCATCCCCCATATAGTAATTCATCCCCCATATAGTAATTCATCCCCCATAGTAATTCATCCCCCATAGTAATTCATCCCCCATATAGTAATTCATCCCCCATATAGTAATTCATCCCCCATAGTAATTCATTCCCCATAGTAATTAATCCCCCATAGTAATACATCCCCCATATAGTAATTCATCCCCCCATAGTAATTCATTCCCCATAGTAATTCATCCCCCATATAGTAATTCATCCCCCATAGTAATTCATCCCCCATATAGTAATTCATCCCCCATATAGTAATTCATCCCCCATATAGTAATTCATCCCCCATATAGTAATTCATCCCCCATATAGTAATTCATCCCCCATATTAATTCATCCCCCCTATAGTAATTCATCCCCCATAGTAATTCATCCCTCATATAGTATTTCATCCCCCATATAGTAATTCATCCCCCATATAGTAATTCATCCCCCATATAGTATTTCATCCCCCATATAGTATTTCATCCCCCATATAGTAATTCATCCCCCATATAGTATTTCATCCCTCATATAGTATTTCATCCCCCACAGTACTATTCCCCCCCAAGTAGTAAGCCAAGTCCCCCCCGTGTCAATTCACTTACCTTTGCTCCGCGCGTTCCTCTCGCCGTGTTCCCGCGCCGTTCGGGTCTTCAGGGCGGACTGTGAGAAGAGCCTAGCTCCCCTCACGTTCGTCACGCTGCCCCGCCTACACACATCCTGACAGCCACATCCGCGGGCCGGATTAAAAGGTCCGCGTGGACTTTTGGGGCGGCCGACCGAGAGGAGGGAGGGGAGCGGGCGCCCGGCACACAGAAGAGCCGCATTAGAGTGTGTAAAGAGCCGCATGTGGCTCGCGAGCCGCGGCTTGCCGACCACTGACCTAGGCGATCGCAGCAGAAGTGGGAGCGGGTACCTGTCAAATTCGGGTACCCCCTTCCCCCCCGCTCCCCAAATCTGCCAATCCTTAATAGGGAGCGGGGGACAAAGGCTTAAAGCAGAACTTCCCCTTTTGGGTGGAGCTCCGCTTTAAGAGGTAAGTCAGGCAAACATTTTTCAGAATAAAAGAACAAATAAGTGCTACTGAGCGTAGATTGCAGGTCAATTTATTATTAAAACACAGAGTAAAATTGCACTCACATTTGGTGAAGTAAAGGCAGGCACGTCCAAAAGTCCGTGTACGGTGTATGGAAAGTCCGCTGCCCATAATGTGTGTTCTGACGTTACTCGGCTGTATTCGCGGCCGGCTGGATGGCTGACTCTCCATACACCGTACACGGACTTTTGGTGAAGTAAAAGCAGGCACATCCAATGTGAGTGCAACTTTATTCTGTGTTTTAATAATAAATTGGCCTGCAATCTACACTCAGTGGAGCTTCTTTGTTTTTTCATTTACTTTCGTGGAAATCGCTTCCTCTCTCTGTAAGAAGGCTTGCCTTGAAGTGTTGACTGCTCTTCCCATCTTGTGAACTCATGGTTAGATGGACTTTTTGCCTATTAGTCTTACAGACTACTGTACATATTGTTACATCCTAAAGGAACCTTTCACCGCACCGACACTATCTCTATGTATAAATATTTTTCATAGCAGGTAAATCATCTGTTCTTTCCTAGGGCAATCAGACCTCTGTCTAAGTTCCCCCATGCAAAAGGACTGCCTTACCCTGAAAATGAACATTTCAATTTGGTACTACAGGTAGTTCATTAGAAATCTCAACCTTCTGACATATATGAACTCTGCATGACATTTGTGTGCAAGTAATATGTGGGCTGCAGATAAGATAGGGTTACAACAATGTCAACTTGGGCTGGATTTTTAGATGAGGTGCAGAGAATGATAGGAATTAAATGAAAAGAAGAGTTGCATTAAACACCACAGATATGCAGGTGATTGACATATGCAGAGGAGATTAATTTTTTTAATATATTTAAAAAAAAACTAGATGGAATTCCGCTGTAAGTAACCAAATCATCAAAGCAGTAGGAAAGGTAATACTTGAACTACGGAAAGCTAATGTAACATGGTTCTATTACAATTATTTTATCTGACCAAAAAAGACTTTTCCTATTGACAGATGAGGCATAGATGAATAGACTGACCGTATAGGAAAAGCTTGTCCATACCTATGGAGAAACCGCTCATACACTTGCCGATATGCGAAACCAGCTCGCCGGACACGAACGTTTTCAAGTAAACCCAAATACTCCACCTGGTGACGGCAACGCTCTTCATCAAACAAAGATGGTGACTTCTTCTCATTTGGTTTTACGCAGCGAACATAGTAGGGCTCCTGAAAGGTCAGCAGATAGTGATAGAAAGTTAGATGGAGAAGGCACCTGACAACATTAAGGACAGCAGAGGTATGGCTGAGAAAGAACATGAGCAGGGAGAGAAGAATGACGCACCTGAAAACAGCTGACTGCTGGAAGCTACAAGGAAGAGGAAAACAGAAGGCAGAATAGGAGGAAATTTTAGAAATTACACTAGAATAGTAATACAGTATGAAACACAAAAACCAATGAATCTGTGCTCAAGAAGCCATCAAACAACCGCTCTAGAAATGATGAGTGAAGTGGAAGGTGTAGGGTATGCCAACATCCGTAGGGCTGGGTATACCATGAAGCAAAATGCAGTTTTTTGTGACTTTTTAGGCATTATTGCTCCATCAATCAAAACTTATTAAAACCAACTTATGGTTGACATGTTTGGCATAATTACAAACCCCAGCCACCCCAAAAAAAAAAAAGAACATTCCTGGACATTTTTATGTACTAAAGCTTCAAAGGTAGTTTTAGGGCTTTAAATTTTACTTATTTATATGCCACTGCTACAGCTATGTGCAGAGTACACAGAACCAATCACATCAGTCCCTGCCACTAAAGATGCTTACGGTGTAATGCCCCTAACAGACTGATGTGGGTGGAAGCCAATGAAAGAACCAGTATGTGATTGGATTGTGGAAGGAAACCACAGCATTAAAAAAGAACCTACATGAGCTAAGTGGAAACGTGGAAATGCTATACAGATAGTCCCCCCTGGTCAGTACTGAACCCCAAGAATCCAGGGCAGTAAGTTACCCATTAAGCCAAAATATAGTAGGCCATCTGACAATGTCCGGACCCAAAGATTGCTGTTAGGTACAGCAAACATTCAGAAGTAATTTTTCATTGGTTTGAAGCAATTTGAACAGTGAAAGATGACTGGTTATCTTAATAAAGAAAGGAAAAATTCAATTGTGCATTGCTAATGGTAAAAAAAAAAACAAAAAACCCCAAAAAACAGAAGATCAGGTCGGTTTACTTTTAATGTTGGTAATGGACAAAAGGAAAAAAAAAAATTATTAAAAATTATTTTCAGTCACCTCTGATGTCTTACAAACTACCTATGTCATTACTGTCATTTTTCGATGCAAACCTTATAAAGAATTAAAAAAAAAAAAAATGTTATATATATATATATATATATATATATATATATATATATATATATATATATATATATACACACATACATATACACATACATACACACACACACATATATACACACACGTACATACCTATACATACATACATACATACACACATACAACCAGATGTCACGAACAAGATCCTTCTCTGTTTGCTGGGTTAAGCTCCTTGCAGCCTGAATAATAGAAAATATTATTCAGGTGTTGTTTCAGTGGCGCCTTCACAGCTGGAGGTCGCCATGGATGAGCAGTAGAGCTGCTGGCATATCAAAATATGTAGCAGGGTGATCAGAGCTGGTACCTTAGATGCCAGGTTATCCACCAGGGCAATCATGGAGTTCTTGAAGAGGGTGGCAGCTGTCAGGGGACGTTTGGTGACCTCTGTGATGCTCAGTTTTCCCTCGGGCCACATGTTTTTCAACACAGGGTTGGAGCTGAAGAGACAGGAAAAGTCACAGGATAATATATGGAGGTCAAAGGACTTGGAATGAGCGGCTGCAATGAGAAAATAATGTGAATCCAATAAGCTGCTTTCTATTGACTGCAATGTCCAGTGACAAATTGCTCCAATTTTTGACACAGCTGTAATGCTTGATTGGCTAAAACTTCTCAAAGCAGTTTTTGGTGTGAATTACAAAGTATAACTACATATACATAGAATTCCCACATATTTACCAGCATTTTTAAGGCTGCATATCAATCACATCAGAGCTGGATCATCCATAAGGAAATGTAGGTATAAGCCCTTGAATGTCTAGGGTTCCCAGCTATAATCTTCATTATCCACAGCAATAGCAAAGCTAGTCAAAGCTGTGCACTTCATAAAAGGAGGATGCAATGTAGGCTGCTGGTATCTCAAAGGCCCATGTCAGTACAGAAAAGGCAAATGGGGTGGATTCTGTCTACTGCAATACTTATCAATGTCAAGTGCATCCTCCTTTGTGAAGTGACGACAGTGCACAGCATTGACCAGCTTTGCTATTGCTGTGGACAATGAAGATTGTAGCTGGGAACCGTGGACATCCAAGAGCTTATATCTACATTGCCTTGTGGATAATCCAACTCTGATGTGATATGTAGCCTGAAAATGCTGGTAAATATGATGCTGAGGGGATGGGGGCCAAAGCTGCTACCTTCCCAGACAAGTCTCTGTTCATAGCAGTCACTGCCCTCAATGTAATGTCCCCAATGCAGTCATACAGTCACACACAATGGCCAATGTGAGTAAACAACAGCTAAACTATTAAAAGGATTTGATAAGTAAATGCAAAAACAATCTTCAGATGCTTCTAAAATTCAGTGCAGGTGCATTTGACCTACTTTAGCTGCGGTTTCATTACCATAGATTTGAATGGGAGAGAAGCAGTTCTGAAACAACAACCAGTTGATATTGGTTCTTAGCATGTTTTTGTCTTGTGGGAGCAAAATGAAGTACTTGGATACCAATGCATGCATAGGTAGACGCAAATTATACTAAGAGTGGCTGTGGTAGAAACCTAACCCAGGACATCAAAGCTCCATAGCAACCGTGCTGACCACCATGCTGCAACATGGTAACCATTATGACCATTCATATCACAGAGGCTAAGGTGTACATGACAATAATACGATAAATACTAGCTGTTTATAATAAATCCTTATGAACCCGTCACCATCTGTTCTATAATAACACGATTACATAACCGCTTTATTTGTGTGGGATCAGAAGATTCTGTATTCTATATAACCAGGAGGATGCAGCTGATATTGAATCAGGAGTCAGCTGGATCGGGTCTGCCCTGTCCTCCCCCCCCCCTCCATCTCACTGGCATGGTTTCCGGGAAACATGGACTTGGCTGTACCTTAGTGTTCCTCGGAACACTGACAACGACTGACATGGAGAGAAGGCGTGTGTACAAGACATCATGAATATTTATGAAACTCCTGCTTCCATTTTCTACAAAGAGCGGGGCACAGCTGCCCAGACAGCTTAATGGAATTTGAGCTCGTCCACAGAGCTTACCATTTTAAATCATGGTATTCAGCACTCCCTTTTTAACTATTATGGAGTCCATTTCACTTTGCTTTCTATGTAAATAATTCTTGGGGAAAATCTACCCAGTTCAGGAAAAATTCCAATGGAATGAATACCCCACCTCTGTCTGGGTCTCTCAGATTCTGATCGGGGTTTGCATCGGGGTTTGCGGCTCCACCTCCACACAACATTCACTGCCAGAGAATCTTACTCTTGCTGCTACGCTTCCCTCTCTTTTTACACTTTTTGCACTGGGCTGCAGAGTCAGGACCTCACTGACATCTCATCACTGCAATTCCCAAGAAATTTAGGTGAGTGAGTTGAGCCATAGACGGCTTGATATGCAGCTTATTCCTGTTGAATCAGGCAAAAGTCAAGCTATACGTGACACCATGCACCCCGATAAACTTTGATCTGAAGATCTAAGGAGCTGGGCGAAAAATTCTTAGCCGCACAGAGACTGCAGCCGATCACATGAAGTCACGGCTCAGATATTCAGGCAGCCGCAGTAGCTGTCAGAGTACAACTGGCAGAGAAGATTCCTCCAGCCACGCTGTTTAGTATGGATGGGGGAATCTAGTGGTTTCACTTGTTGTCAGCTCACAGGGCTTAATGAGAGAAATCCTAACGTGTATAGCTGGCCTTAGCCCTCCAAACACACATATCAGTTTCATATGTTAACACTTCAGTTATAATTTTACCTTTATTGTAAAACATCAGCATTTATGACAGCCAATGCAGATGGATGTTATGTAATTCTACTACCATTGTTTTGTGTATCTGTCTTAGATTATGTCATATTGCTGCCAATTGTTAACAGCAGTCACTTTGACTCTGTACAGAGTGCGATTTCCAGTTAAGATGGTCATACACTATATTTCCAAAAGTATTGGGACACCCCTCCAAATCATGTGATTCAGGTGTTCCAATCACCTCCATGGCCACAGATGTATAAAATCAAGCACCTAGGCATGCAGACTGCTTCTACAAACATTTGTGAAGGAATGGGTCGCTCTCAGGTTCTCCGTGAATTCAAGCGTGGTCCTGTGATAGGTTGCCACCTGTGCAACAAGTCCATCCGTGAAATTTCCTTGCTACTAAATATTCCACGCTCAACTGTTAGTGGTATTATAACAAAGTGGAAGCAACTGGGAACAACCAAGTGGTTGGCCACTTAAAATGACAGTGCGGGGTCAGTGCATGGCGAAGCGCACAGTGAGCAGAAGTCGCCAACTGTCTGCAGAGTCAACAGCTAAAGACCTCCAAACTTTGTGTGCATCCAAGCTTTACATCACCAAGTGCAATGCAAAGCATTGAATGCAGTGGTGTAAAGCACGGTACCACTGTACTCTAGAACAGTGGAGATGTGTTCTATGAAGTGACGAATCACACTGTCTGTAATTCTAAGGGATGTGTCTGGGTTTGGTGGTTACCAGGAGAACGGTACGTGCCTGATTGCATTGTGCCAAGTGTAAAGTTTGGTGGAGGTGGGATTATGGTGTGGGGTTGTCTTTCAAGGGTTGGGGTTTCATTCCAGTGAAGGGAACTCTCAAGGTGTCAGCATACCAAGACATTTTGGACAGTTTCATGCTCCCAACTTCGTAGGAAGAGTTTGGGGATGGTCCCTTCCTGTTCCACAATGAGTGCGCACCAGTGCACAAAGCAAGGTCCATAAAGACATGTATGAGGGAGTTTGGTGTGAAGGAACTTGACTGGCCTGCACAGAGTCCTGACCTCAACCCGGTAGAACACCTTTGGGATGAATTAGAGCGTAGACTGTGAGCCAGGCATTCTTGTCCACATCAATGCCTCACCTCACAAATGTGCTTCCAGAAGAATGGTCAAACCTTCCCATAGACATTCCTAAACCTTGTGAACAGCCTTCCCAGAAGAGTTGAAGCTGTTTATAGCTGCAAAGGGTGGGCCAACTCAATATTGAACCCCATGGACTAAGACTGGGATGCCATTAAAGTTCATGTGTGTCTAAAGGCAGGCGTCCTAATACTTTTGGCAATATAGTGTACATACAAACAAAGCGATTTCTCCAGCCACAAAACTGAGGTGGATGGAAGAATCCCCCCCATCCTGTGCGTTGTAATCTGACAGCAGTACCTGTCACTGTCAGAACACACTGATCAGCGGCTGCAGCTGACTGCAGCTGCTGATTGATGGAAAAATTTCCAACATGCCCCTTCAAAGTCACCTGAACAATTGACTTCTGACGAGCAGGGCGGCCCACACAGTGATCGAAATTCAGCTGCTCCCTGCAGGACTGTCCAAATTTTGATCAGTGTATGACCATCTTTAGTTAAAGTGGAGCTAGCATTAAAAATCACATTAATCTAGGATGCATATCAGTATTTCTAACAGTATATTTTGTGGGTAAAAGGGAATAAAAAGGATGATCTCAGCTCTACAGCCAAGCCAAAGATGACACAACTCTTGTCTTTAAGGTGCATTGTTGGCATGTTACTACTAAGAATCAATAGTTTTAAACCAGAAACGCCTTTTTAGTAAGATCAGAGGATCGTCAGGAAGCAAACCCGGTTTATGAAATCATCAAATATGGCTGCCCCAGGTGCATATTGAATTCCCATATGTATCTGGAACTAGATCTTTTGACCATTCTAAAAAGGACTTCCAAACCAAAATGTCATATCTGCTCCATCTCATGTCTCCTGTAAACCCCTTGGTGTGTATAGCAGACTAAGGGTGGCCATACAGGGATCGAAATTCGTCCGGTTCAGCGGGGACCCCCTGGATTTCAATTCATGTATGGGCAGGGTGGCTGTACAGAAGTTGATCTACCAGTTTCCCAAATGATCAGTGCCACCAGCTATAGCCTGCAGGATTGATCAGTGTATTCTGATGGCGGGGAATCCTCAATGTCACAATACAATAGGAGTGATGTGGATGGGGGAATCAGGTCATTTTTTTTCTTTCAGCCCACTGTTTGAACGACAAATATTATTAAAGGTATGAATAGCTTAAAGCTGGCCACACACTATCAGAATTTATTTTGAAATGTTTCATTTTAAGAGCATTTTCTTGACTTTCTAATTGTTAGTGGGGTCAAACCGATGTTCTTTTTCAATCACTGTGATGAGAAAATTCATAGGAGCAAGACGGAAATGTTTCTCAAATGAACAACCTTTGTGACACTACGTGTGGTTTCCTTTAGAAGATTCCATTCACTCAAAAATGAAATGCTAAAAGCAAATGTTTTCTGAAGTACTTTCAAAACAACATTGGCCAAGTCATCAAATTTACAAATGATTTGTAAGGTCGGGGGGATAAAAGACAAAAATATTTTTGTTCTTAAACTGGATCCTTTCTAGCTTTTGGGATATGGAAGTATTTTACACTTTCCCTGCGGAGATCTCTAAAATATTTTGCAAAGAAGAGACCTCAATCAATGCTCACAGTAATACACATAGTATAGATTTGTCTCACCTGTTATACATGAGTCTCTTGAAGTCCTGGAACAATGTGTCTTTGTTCTTATCAATAAATCCCACCACTGAGTAACTGTCAGGAAAAGAAAATGGTGAGAACCAAAACAAGGAAACTGTGGAACTCATCAAATGCCAATTTGATTCAAATGGCCACTCTGGAGAATAGGTCTGTGCCATGTTATTAAACACTAGAATCTCATGCCAAGGTTGACAACTTAATAGTCAAGAGTCCTCGTGATACTCACACTACATCCCCAGCGTAGTGACGGATTCGGAAATCTCGGTCATATTCCAGAGCTTTATCTGTTGGAGTGACCTGCAGGGAACAGAATCAATAGTAGGTTTAAAGCTGAAGTTTAAGCTGCTTATAGTTTGCCTTCAACTGGTCCTTCTTTCCCTCCTCATCAACATGATAATGCCATTTTAAATGAAACCCTGTTTTCTTTACATACCCTATTTTAGACCCAGGGATGTCATTGCTGGGTCTCTGTGCTTCTATATCCAATGCAGGGAGATCATGGCTGATGGGAAGGACCAGCAGGGGGCTGTATATACAGTAGCTTCCTGAAAATATCACAGCACCCTGTCTCATTAATCCTTTCAAGAGTCATCAGCCCTGATGCAAGCAGTGGTGTGACTCTTATGAGGGACTGTGCAAATGTCAAAATGTCTTGAGTGTGTGTCAGGAGTGGGTATTCCTAGGGAGTCTGTATTTGTCTTTAGACTGCCCTGGGTAATGCTTACATGTCATTCTGAGCTTCCATGATTGGAAAAACGGAAATCCAATGAGTGAAAGGGCTGGGCCAGGGACAGTCAGGCCGGGGAGGAAACCGATGATGCTGGATGGCTCTGAGTTGGTCGGAGTAGTACATGCACTACTTTTGGTGCGATTTGCATAGACATCTGTGTCAAATGTCTTGCAAATCGCACCTCAAATAGACATGTCATCTGACTTTGAAATCATGCAATGTCACTGTAAGGCGCACGATTTCAAAGTCGGGATTGGGGTGATCGGGGTGACAAGCTATTTCCATTATAGGCCAAGTAGAAAAATCCAGGTTAAAATAAAAAAAAATCTCAGCAAACCTAAGAAGCTCCAAACTGTTTAACTCATTATTGATCACATAAAAAAATACAAGTCTGCAATTTTGTATTCACATTGTATTATTTCTGTTTATCCTTGCAACATACAGATCTCCAGTTTTTTTTTAAAAAAACAATTCCCAGCATGCTCTGAAGCACAGGTCACTGAAGACAGGCCTTGTGTCCACTGAATAAAATAGTGTCATCTTACTATTGTTGAAGGCATTACGTGTAGAATCTTAATATCCAAAGCCCAGGTCACTAAATGTAATGAGCCACACACAACTATTCTGTCACTGACGAATTTAGAGGGAAAAAAAGAGCCCAAGAATTCCACAGCTAGGTACTAAAGACTAATGCTTCAAACCCCTGAATACCAATAGGGCTGCAGACAGCCTCAATCAGGCGACAACTGTGTCCAATGTCCATTGGCTAGACATGACATCATCATTGAAAGCCTGATCTGTACACAGCAGTGGTGAGAATCCACAGGGAACCTGGCTCCCTCTGCTGGACAAGCCACATCACAAGCAGGCGATGCAACGTGTCAGTGGAGCAATGTATCTACACGAATATATATATATATATTAAATTTTATTTATTACAGGTACTTCTATAGAGCCGCCAATTTACGCAGAGATTTACATATATATTTGTACATTCACAGCAGTCCCTAACCCTCAAGGAGCTTTACAATGTAAGGTCCCTAACTCCCATTCAGGGGCGGACTGACCATTTGGAAACTCGGGCACTGCCCGTGGGCCCGGGGGGTCAGTAGGGGGCCCCATGAGATGCCCCTGGTACCTTTTTCATAGGCTTTTTTGAGATTGCGCAAGGACACAGGGGCCCCATGAGTTGTCAGTCTGCCCCTGCTCCCATTCATACATAAACATACTAGGGCCAATTTAGACAGGAACCACCTAACCTAGCAGTATGTCTTTGGAGTGAGGGAGGAAACCGGAGTTCTTCCCCCGTACCTGCCAAGTGTACCTATTGACCAATGAGGTCACCCAACCTTCAAAGACTGATAGGAAGGCCTGGAAATTTGGTGGGGCAAAAAATTTGGTAGAAAAAAATTCAGATTTGCATATAGCTTTAAGTATCTAAATCTCAGCTCTACTGACTGCTTTGATATATGATTTTCACTAAAGGTAACCTCTGCCTATACATTTTACAATCAGTTTAAAGGAGAAGTAGAGCCAAAGTTTTCATGTCACACTGCTACTGTGGGTTACAGGAGTGCCCTTAGTTTTGCACTCCCGTGACCCCTTTTCGGCCGACGGTGGGCTAAAGCCTGCTGTTGTCTGACGTCACTCAGCCAGTCCAGGGTCTGGAATGATCTGAACTTTTATGTCGGGATCCACCCAGATGCATGGACTGGCAGCTGGCTTAGATTCTCAGCATGTCGCCAAGAGCCTGAGCCATCCGCTCCCATCCCCTGACCTGCACTCTAGTGACGGACAGTCTTCAGCTCCCTGCAGGCTGAAGACTGGCGTTTGATCGCTTAGTTCTCAGTCTTAGAGGCGGCAGGGGACAGCTGCAGCAGGGATCGGTGTTGCAGCCATCTAGGCGAGTATGAATATTTATATTTTTATTCCTGAACATCTGTTAACTTTAGAGCGGAACTAAAACCATCAATTTAACGGCTTCACAAAATAGTTAAATTCAAGGCATGCCATCAATGATAACTGTCACAGTTGCTTATGTTCTCAACCAATCTGTCAAGCCATTAAATGGCTGCAGTCATAACTGATCACATGTGCAGCAGCATGGCAACTGCAGATCAAACAGAGGCTAAGATGGCAGCTTCCTTGGAGAGGAGAGTTTTGTTCTGCTTTAAAAAGAGACTCCATAATGTTGTCCATTTACGCAAAGTGACAGATTTCTATAAAACCCACTTCTGATTCTGATTGTGCTTCCCAGCTGCTTTATTCCACCACAATCCTAACCATGTAGAAGGTTCATGTTGGATGGTATCAGAGCTTACACAGGGTCAATCATGTCATTGTTTCCATCATGTGACAGTGTTTGGGCATGGAGGTTGGCCACTTGGCCCAAAGCTTTATTAGGGAGGAGGTCATATGTCCCCCATACACAGAAGCACCAGATTTGACAAATGAAGGAGCAGCTAAGGAACAATGGAAAAGTAAGAATAATGTGGGTGAGCTTTAAAGAGACCCCTGAGTTGTCTGTTTTATAGGCTTGGCTTTACCTTTGGGAACATATTTCAGGTTTCATCCATATTTAAGATGCAACATAAAACAGTCACATTCTTTAACCCCCCCCCCCCCCCCCCCTCTCAAAACCGCCTTCCATTTACATGAACTGCAGGGTGTATCCTGTGCGGAGATGCAACCATTGTTTGCTTCCTCCAGCCCCATAATAGTAGGTCCGTAACGCTGTACAAACCTGGGGCTGGGATGTAAACAATGTAGGAGCCTGTACTTTGCACCTGCGACACACGGATCACCGTTGCAATGCCCTGCAATTAAAAATGAACAAATGCACGTTTATTTTCATTTATCAACATGGGTGCATTAAATATTTTTTCAAAAGGTGTACTATGCCTTTAAAAAGAATAACTTACTGAGGATTTTTATAGTTTACCTGAGGTACTGAATAATGAAGTATAGCCTTTGTTATACACTGCAGACCTATGGGCATGTCCAGCAAAGACCTTGTTATCCTTGGCTTTGCACACTTTGTCTATGCAAGTACTGGGTGTGATGTTATGATCCATATTTCATTGAAAAGAACGGATACTAGGGAAACCTGGAAAAATAAGTACCCTCTTACCTTCCTACTGGAGTAATGGGCATGCTTTCCCAACTGCTTATTCAGTGCATCCAGGAACATGGCGTCTGTCACTTTTCCCACATTCATACAAGCATCATCCAACAAGGAAATGATCCCACGATGTTGCTGCTCCACCAGGTCCACAATGATCTGGTTGTTGAAATAATCTATCTGTAAGAAAGTGTTGAACATTGGATGTTATCACGCTGATAAGCTATTTCACACGTTTGTCAACGGGACATGAAAAATGACATCACAGCAGCTTCACCGACTACATTCTCCCAATACTCACATGTTTCCAGGGAATCCCTTCTCTCTTGTATTCTTCCTGCTCCTGCGTCAGAACGAGCTGGATGAACAGCTGCTGTAGTTTTTCATTGCAATAATTAATGCAGAACTGCTCAAAGCTGAAAGAGTCAGGAAAAGTACTAGAATCAGAAAGTGAGATTTCAAACTGCAAATAACTTGTTCTGATGCAAGCAGTTTATAAAAGGAAGAAAGAAATATCAATGTTTCCCCTATAAAATCAATCAACTGTCACTTTTCTAATGCAGGACAGCAAGCAAAAGAACATGAGATGTTGCTATGGTCAAGACAGCGATTATCATTTGACATTTTTTTTCAAAGTTTGCTAAAATTCAAAGACTATTACTTTTTTAAATTACTCTATTGCTGTATATTATAATAATGTCAGGACACAAGTATCACTGAGAAGGTTGCATTATTAGAACAGTTTAAAAAATGGAGATTCAAATGATTCAAATGATTACAAAGGCAAATTCCTGCTGGGTTCTGTTCTTTATCATAACAGTAGTACAGTCTTTTAGTGTGTTAGCCATCCACCACGCAAAAAGTTTAGAGTAAAGTGACGCTTTTTATTGGCTAACACAAGTTATTAAAGATTCAAGCTTTCAGCCTCTATATAAAAGGACACTTACAGCAGTAGGGGGTGTCCATCCAAATATGATGGAGTTTGGTCCATATGGCTGGAAAGCCTCAACACAGCAGTCTAACCTGCTACAAATGTACCTTGAAGCAATCACTCAGACAAGATGGCCCCTGACCTGGATATATTCCTAAAATGTGGGGTGCACCCTCTGCGGTTTTGAGACCTCATGACATTTACGGACTTCTATCTCTTATTCGAGATGTAGACCTGGGTCTCTATATGTACCTGCCCATCGCTGTAATAAATTTTGACTTTGTCATCAGGGAAAAGAAAGGATGCCACCCACCAACCCAGTGCTTAGTATATGGATGAATGTGGCCTCAGCTAGCGCCACTCTAGCTACACCCACTGACATGCTTCACCCTGCCCACTGGGGTTTGGTCACTGCAAGTTTTACAAGAAATCAGTAGATTTGACTATTATTCCTTTACCTCCATATATAATCGTGATTGATGGCTTGTTTGATTTATGAAGCACAACTTTTAATTTTTCTCTTTCCAAGTTTTTATGAGTGCTGCTGCATTTAAATGTTTGTAACTTTTATAAAACTCAATAAAAATATAACTTGTGAAGAAGATCCAAGCTTTCAGGACCCGCTGGGTGATTAATCAGACTTTATACAATTGTATACAGACTGAAGAAAGGACCTTTACAGGTTTCAAAAGCTTGCATTTTTATTAACTTAGTATACTTGTCTGAAAAAAAATATACCTGCAAAAATTATGACTAGAAACAGGCTGCCGAAAAGGTAAATATTACCTTTTCGGCAGCCTGTTTCTTGAAAAGCTGCTGCTTCATTGCTCGCCATTCTCTAAGTATTTACCTAGTAGGATGGGTCAAATGCTTGCTTTCCTTGCTGCTATGGTTTCTCCCACCAGTTCATACATCCTATAGTGACATAAGAGCTGGCAGGAGAAACCACAGACAGCAATTGGGAAGCAGGTTATTCACACACCCGTAAGTATGTAAATACTTGTAGAGGAACTTTGGGCTGTAAAGCAGCAGCTTTCAAGACTTGGGCTGCCAGAAAGGCAGGTATATGCAGTCTTTGTTTTTGCACGTATGTGACATTCAAGTGACCCTCTGCTGACAGGGTCACTGCATGTTAGCCAATAAATGGTATCACTTAAAACTACAAACTTTCTGCAAGCTCTGCATCAGAAATACACTTCACCTGTTATTGTCAAAGATCTCAAACCCGTAAATGTCCAGCACACCAATCACTGTGTTTTTCCCATGAAGAGCCGCATCTTGTTTTTTCACATCAATCACGTCGTTGATACGACTGACAATCCAGCAGAATAGGCGTTCATAGATGGCCTGTGAGATGAAAGAAAGAGAGCTATAGCCATCAATCATCCCAACAACAAATCTTTGTTCAGTTCATCTTTATAATTCAGTTAGCTATTTGGCACCTTAGCAAACGCATCTCGGCCATAACTAGCCTCCTGCTCGGTGTGCTGCTTGTCAATAACATCTCTGCCAGTGGCCACTGTCCTGAAGAGCAAAGCCTTCTCCAGAAGATCAGCTTTTGAGCCCAGGAGGTCCGCCACTACAGAGACAACTTTACCATTCTCAATGACGGGGGTATCTCCATCCACAGTAAACTTCAAATTACCCTGGAAGAGAGAGAGAGAGAGGGGTCATAAATGCTAGAGTAAAATACATACCAGTCTTTAAAGTCTTTTGCAGTATTTTACAGTGACGAAAAATGAATAAGCACTGTCAGTTGGTTTCTTCCATGTTCAGTTTTTCATTGCATCACAAAAATAAAAGCAACACCTATGTAGAGCATTAGCATTAACAGTCATCAGTGCAAAACCTCTTGGATCCCACAACTCAAGTTCTTTCAAGACCACAGGAACAACTTAGCATGAGGAGCATACTGTAAAAACAGCAGACTGTTCTAAAGTTAAAATGTCACCATACAAAAAGAAAGCGTTACCAATGAGTATTTCTAATGATCTGAATCTGCACGCTTAAACTGTTAAAATAGTAAATCCTTACCTGTTTTGTACAATTTGATTTTTTTTTTTTTAACTTGCATTCACTCTCTGCTGGAACAGAAGTGTCAAGCTGTCTTGCCCCTTGAGCTAGTAATAGTAAGAGATTTTGGGATAGTGTCCCTCAATGGAGGCTTCCCCATTTAGACATCGATCAGAGAGGGACCCAGAGCAGTGACACATGCGATTACAGCACTTGACTGAGGGTAGTTTTCAATCGCCGATTTCCTTTCTGGCTTTGAGATGTCATTTGACCAATTGCCATGAACTGCCAAGGAGGCTGATCTTGAAAGATCACAATAAACCATGTTCTTTATCACCATGCCTGCCAATCACTGAGGCACAATGACACACGCTACATGGTACACTTTCTTAATGCACAGACATTTGTCTATACATTGAAAAGGCCACATGGATTTTCCTAGCATCTAAACTTGCAATAGCGACTGCCTGGAATAGGCCCATGGTAGACCTGGTGGTGATGAAAAATAAATCGGCATGGATCATGATCAATGAAAAGATGGTCAGCATACTGCAAGATACCACCTTGAAATTTTGAGAGAGTTTGGGACCCCTGGATCCATTATCTACAAACGCTTTCTTCATAACTGACAAGGTGGCGATTGGGTTTGGCCTTTCGACAGGCCTTGCTTCTTCTTTTCTCCTTTTTTTTTCGTCTCCCGTTCTCTTCTTTTTGGTGACAAAACAGTACTGTCACATGATATAGATTTTGATTCATGATAACCACCTTGCCAGTATTACATACTTGCTTTGAAATGGGGGGGATACCTCAATCCAGCTTCTGAGTGTGCACCTCATTGGCTTGGAGCACATCCATATTATTCCAGTGTTTAGTATTGACCTGTTTCCTTATTTGAGTGATGGAAATCTGTGATATCTACCATTCGTGCTTTAGACATCGATCACAGAGGGACCCACAGCAGTGACACATGGTGGAACTCAATGCGATTACAGCACTTGACAAAGGGTAAATTTCAATCGCCGATTTCCTTTCTGGCTTTGAGATGTCATTTGACCAATTGCCATGAACTGCCAAGGAGGCTGATCTTGAAAGATCACAATAAACCATGTTCTTTATCACCATGCCTGCCAATCACTGAGGCACAATGACACATGCTACACTTTCTTTATGCACAGACATTTGTCTATACCTTGAAAAGGCCACATGGATTTTCCTAGCATCTAAACTTGCAATAGCGAGTGCCTGGAATAGGCTGGTGGTAGACCTGGTGGTGATGAAAAATTAATTGGCATGGATCATGATCAATGAAAAGATGGTCAGCATACTGCAAGATACCACCTTGAAGTTTGAGAGCGTTTGGGACCCCTGGATCCATTATTTACAAAGTCCTTCTTCATAACTGACGAGGTGGCGATTGGGTTTGGCCTTTGGACAGGCCTTGCTTCTTCTTTTCTCCTTTTTTTCCATCTCCCTTTCTCCTCTTATTGGTGACAAAACAGTACTGTCACATGATATAGATTTTGATTCATGATAACCATCTCGCCAATATCACATACTTGCTTTGAAATGGGGGGGATACCTCAATCCAGATTCTGAGTGTGCCGCTCATAGGCTTGGAGCACATCCATATTATTCTGGTGTTTAGTATTGATCGGTTTCCCTATTTGAGTGATGGAAATCTGTGATATCTACCATTCGTGCTTTTTCTGTACGTTGACATTGGTAACCTCTTCCGCCTGAGTTGCGGGACTTCTATATATATTCTTTACTTAAAGAATGACCAACTCTTTTGTCATAAATATATTGAAACAGAAAAGGCCTTTCCTTCTAGTTACCAGTCCTCCCCTAACAAAACCGGTCATATGAGAAAGGGGCTGTCCAGGGTACATGTAAAAAACAAAAGCTCTGTTAACTGACTGTTTTACACTCATTTAGTAGCCCAGACAAAGAGGCTGATTTACTAAAAGAGTTGAAAATCTTAACTTAATAAACTGTAGCTGTCTGCACTTTGAATACTCAATCATGTGCAGGTGAAACAAACAGGAATTTGCTTTTCATATGACTGGATACTAGGGACTTCTGACTGCTTCTTCTGGACTGTTCATTGTAAGGATAAATTGGCAGCTGTCTCACATTTGCTCTGCTTGCCTTTTTACTAAACAAAATCAACAATTTGCAGCAAATTGCATTCTTCTAGCCTGACAGATTTAGAATTTGAATGATGGGGTTGGAGGTTGCAGACTTCTTGCAAACTCTGCACATATATTTTTGTGCAAAACCTGCACTACTACTTCAAGTTTAGAGTTTAACCTGGGCCTGAACTTGAAAACTTAAAATTTGTTTATAAGAAACATCTAGTTAATTGTGGAAAAACTTGAAAAGTCTGAAAATGTACCAGTTGCCTTGGATTCCTCCTGAAAAATAACCGTGCACTTCCTGTGCCTAGCCAATATTTTGCCTTGAGTCTCATAGATGTGCTGTATATCTGTAGTGTGAGATCATCTAAGGTATTGCTGTCTCTGACTGCTAGTATCAGGAGATTTGGAGCGAGTCATTTTTGGTGATGTTATAATGTCCTGTTCGCCTTGCTCGAGAGAAAGCTGTACTTGAGAACCTGCAGTGCAAGGATCTCCCTGCTTTTGCATCAAGCATTCTGTAGATCTGCGTTTTCTGAATATATCCTGCTGGTAGTTGATCCTTACCACAACAGGTATCAGATCACCAGTCATTCCCCCTGATGACTGGTGATCTGATACCTGTTGTGGTAAGGATCAACTACCAGCAGGATATATTCTGCTGCTCTGCTATATTCTGCTATATTCGGCTGCTCTGGCATAGAACTGGATACGAACATTTATAGGTAAGGTTGATCCAGGAAATATCAGATTGCTCCTGCAGGGAAAAAATTCCTTCCTGATCCCCTGAGAGGCAAATTGGATCATGCTTTGCGGGGGGTTTTTTCCCTTTCTCTGGATCAACTGGGGGTGTAGGATTATAACTTTTTTTTTTTTTTTTTTAATAGTTGAACTGGATGGACTTTTGTCTTTTTTCAGCCAGACTAACTATGTAACTATGAGGAAGCAAAGCCCAGCCTCTAGTAAGAGGCTGGCTCCACACTGACACATTAAGGGACTAGATATAGGAATCCAGTACTGGGGAAATGATCAACTAGTGGGATACTACGATACTAAAGGCAACACTTTGAACTAGTCATTTGTCCTCTGCTTGCTTGTTGTGAGAACATTTTCTAGAGATCAGTTCCCCTTTAAGCTTAGAGTTAATTTGCTGCTAAAAAATTCTTGTTAAGGATGACGGTAAAGGGCAGCCTAGACTTGACAAGCTTCTGTGAAATTCTAACCTGTTTGGATGAATACGAGAGCCAGACAGGCAGACATACGGCTCTAGAATGTCTGATGTTTTACATCTCACAACAATCAGCATACATGTTTTGGCCCAGAGAGAATACCAGCACATCATATTTTTTACTGCACTAGGTATATGGGTATTTACACAGCTGAAGGTGAGGGCTGCCAAGCTTCTTGGGCAAAGTCTGCCTTTAAATACCACTACGAACAGCTGGTGAAAGTGGAAAACACAGGATTGTCTGTGCTATGACCCTCTCTTACCAGGTCAATGGACATGCCGCATGTTTAACACCTACTCACCAGATGTAGAATAGTAGCCAGGATTTTATGGACAGTCTGGATCTCCTCTGGTTTAAACCCAATCACTTTCATCGCCTCTGACACCTCTTTGAACTCGGCTGTATCATTAATTGAAGGCTGGAGGAGAAAAAGAAAGGATCAAATAAGAATATAAATATTCGACTTGACTTGGACCTAAACTCTCATGGCACCTCACCTAGCATGTACAGCGCTGTGAGAAAAAAAAACTTACAGATAATCATTTACTGCTGACTCCGTACATATGCAGGGATCAGAATCAATAGGTCGAAAATGTGCGCAGTCAGGGTTGTTGATTGGATGACAGATGACATGGTTCCATTCTAGCAGCTGCAGTTGGACTATGCCAGGAGCACTGATAGGGGATTATCTGTAAACCTTTTACAGCATGTTATATATCAGGACCTTGTTGGGTGGGTAAAGGAGGCGATATGAGCCAAGAGTTCAGTTCTATTTAAAAGAATCCGTCGATCTAAAATGTAGTTTCCCTATGAAACGGATGATGTAAAACTAGATATTCTACTATTTTATGATGTCTTCATGAGTTAAGTAGCAATACTTCTCCAACTGTGTTCCCAGCTCTGCCCATCTGCTGCCATTACAAGGGGATCTCACTCTCTTTTACGAATTTGCATTAAAGATATTTCAGCAAGAAAAGGGAGACTGCATATGTCAAGGTACATTTGCAGGACCTTGCTACAAAGAATTAGGGCTGTTCTGTAGGCAAATGCCCCTCTGATACTAGTTAGCTGTGAAGAATTAACTGGCAATATTTAATTTAATAGAACAGAACTCACCTTGACCCCTGCCAAGCTGCGGGTGTAAGTGTAGGAAGAGATATCCTTCTGGAGATGAAGGGAACGCAGTGTCTGCTCTGGTGCTCCCAAGATTAACTATGGAAAGGCATATGAACAAAATTAATCCTAACATACTAGTGTGCCCAGAATGTTAACTAGAAACTACATACCTCTGGTGAACTCCAGGTTTATAAATTAAAAATAAAAGAATGGCAAATGTGGGGTACTGCTCTAAACAGTATATTTAGGCTTTTGTAACCCAAGCTGTGCTCTGGAAACAAGTGAAGGAATCTAACTGGCTACTATCACTTCCTTAAGAATGCTAGGATCTAGCCTCTCTGCCACGTGGCTAGCCAAAGACACCAAAGAATGGTGAAGACACACATGCTCACTTCAACCTTCTGCCAATGTCTGCAAGCAGAAACTCTGCCATGAACCGCAATGAATGTGCCAAACAAGAGTTAAGGTGATGTAGACAGATGGTGTGACATCACAGGAAGCGGACAGATCCAGTGCTGGCTTATCTTTGGGGAGACAATAGTGACTGGACATGGTTTCCAGTGTCTATGCCATCTTTATGGGCATGTAGATGAAAAAAAGTTACAGAGACTAAGCATTTATTAAATCTAGGGCTTATGCACAAAATATAATAGATATCATAAAAAGAAGGAACTATTAGTCCATGAAGACAACATAAAAAGCTTGCACCATCTAACACTGACCTGATAAAAGGAGTGGAAGTTTCTCTCCCCCAGCTGCTGGATGATGACACGGGACTAAAAAAATAAAAGAGAAAGAAAAAACACGTCCAAACAATCATCCATTGAATTCTGTAATTATCATTATGTTCAGGGAAAAGTGACGCGTCTGTGAAAAGACCCATGTGTCCTTGACCCACGGACATTCATTTCTCCAGCAATCCCCTACCACTACTTCAGAGCGTCACATGAAGTGTCAGAACCTAGAGGGAAAGGAAAAAGGAAAAAATGTCACCAGCACACCGAGGATCATTAATACGGGTCCAAAGGTTTTAATAAACCATCACATAGTTACAGCAAGGCAACGTTTCGGAGTCTCGCAGGACCCCTTCATCAGGCATGTGACCTCATGAAGGGGTCCTGCGAGACTCCGAAATGTTGCCTTGCTGTAACTATGTGATTGTTTATTAAAACCTTTGGACCCGTATTGGTAATCCTCGGTGTGCTGGTGACATTCTCCCTTGCCGATTCTTTTCGGTTCCAGCCGACGGTCGCTGCAGCACCCATTTATACACACAGCCATATTTAATGCAGGAACGTGTGTGTTTTGGATTGTACACTTGCATTTTGGAAAGGGTCAGGGACTTCTTTAAAAAGCAGCATTTTGCTACAATAGAGTTCAATGGAGAAGCTGCTGAAATGCATGGTAGTGCTTTTTGCCGCCTAGAGGAAGTCATGTCTTCACCCCTCCATCATGTGACAGTACTGTCACATGCAAGGAGTTTACATGCTCTCCCCATTGCCCAAAACAATATTGGAAATATTGGAAGCAGGGGCGGCTGAGCACTGGGGAGGTGAATATCAGTCGGTCAGGGCATGACTTTTCACAAACACTAACTTTACCCTCTATACACATCGTAAACAATATACAGGTACAATCTAATCTCACCTTCTCTAATAAGTAGTTATTGATGTGGCCACCAATAGGATCCCCTTTGAAGTCAAAGTTAATGTCCATGTACTTTCCAAACCGGCTGGAGTTGTCGTTTCTATTAGTCTTGGCGTTGCCAAAGGCTTCTAAGACACAGTTGGACTTGAGCAGCATGTTCTTTACCCTGAAGCGGTGACATAACAAATTTTATACAAATAAAGAAAGGTGTGGAAATTAATCTTTACATACTGGTAAACAGTCACATTATTACTATACAGAAAATGTAACCTGCTCAACCATCAATGCATTTCTTAACCAACCATTTTCATGTTACAATATTTTTTTTGTTCCATAAAAGTTTATTTAGAAGTGACAACATGTTACAGGAAAATATAAAGAAATGCACACGCAGCATCAATCAGGTCATAGACACAGCTTAAACCAAAATACAGGAAGAAACAACATGGTAGAGTGCGACACTATGGATAACATAAGCATGGCAAATTACGGCAGAGATATGCCTGTAGTACTCAAGATTCAAAAATGTACAATATAGAAGGTAATAACAGCTTACTTCCACCAAGTGAATATTGGCGTACTGGCCTAAGCATGGAGGAAATGAACCTTCAGAGCCTAAACCAAAAGCAGTACACTATCATGAGGCTAAGTGAGCATCGCAGTATAAGAGAAGACGTTGTGAGTACCATTGACTATCCTAGAGGAGATAAGCTAACCATATACCAAGTAATCCTGGATAAAATGAAGATTAAGCCTGATCGAAGACTAAGAGGTTGTCGAGAAAGAAAAGAAAAAAGGGGAATAGAAAGAAAGAAAAGGATAAGAAAAGGAAAAGAATGGGAGTCATAGTAGAGAGAGAGAAGAGAGAGAGAGAAGAGAAAGAGGGGGAGAGAAAAAAAAAAAAAAAAAAAAAAGGGGGGGGGAGAGAGTAAGGGGAGAGGGAGAAGGGGGGATAAGAGGCAAAAAAAAAAAAAAGGGGGGAAGCAAGGGAAGCGAAGGGTCCGGGCTGCGAAGTTTGTGTCAACATTGTTATTGGAGATCATAAATGAGAGTGTCAAGAATTTAAACACTCACCAAAGCTAAGCAGGCAAATATAAATTACCGGAAAAGAGGTCCTAACCACACAGATTATGAGAGAACCAAGGGCATAACCAGAGGTAGGGCTGAGGTCAATCAGGTATCCCGACCCATGAGAGATCCGAATTCAGGGGTAGTTACAAAGTGGGTCCAGCAGGCCCAAACATGTGAGTATTTAGTTGGCAGATCAAGTGCAGTCGCAATCAGTTCCTCCATTTCCGCCACTTTGCCTACTCGATTGAGCCAATCGCGTATAGTTGGGGGGTGAGTGGAGCCCCATAGCACAGGAAGACAGAGTCTGGCTGCGTTGATCATATGCATCGCTAGGGACTTGAAATATTGACTCCTAGGAATGGGGGTATGATGAAGCAATAGCTGAGCAGCAGAGAAAACTATGGGCAGAGTGGTCACTGAAGTCACCAACCGGTGGACCTCCTGCCAGAATGGTTGAATAAGTGGACAGGACCACCAAATATGCAAGAAAGAGCCATCAGGTGTCCCACATCTCCAGCACACGTCAGGGACAGAAGAGTTAAACCGATGAATTCTGGAGGGAATACGATACCATCTAGTGGCTAATTTGAAGCCATTTTCCTGCGTCGAAACATTACTCGAGCAGGAGTGGGAGTACATAAAAATGCGGTCCCAATCCGACTCTGATAAATCCGTCTTTAGGTCTCTGTTCCACGCACGGCAAGAGGGGAAAGAAGTGCAAGTCCTGCTGTCCCCTAGGAGAGGATAAATCTCAGAGATCAAATGCTTCCGCGGTTCGGATTGAGAGCATAAGGATTCAAATGGAGTAACAGGGCGAGTCCAATTATGGCGGGATTTATGGAAAAGCAGGAAGTGTCTAATCTGAAGAAAGGCCCAGAGAGGGAATTCGCGGATATTCAAGCTAACCTTCAGCTCCTGTAATGTTTTCACCTTGCCGGAGTGAAGAAAATGTTTTACTAAAATCTGAGCGTATGGCCAGTAATTTGATAAAAAATCCTTGTGCAACCCTGGGGGAAAATCTGGATTCAGGCGGATCGACGTCAAGGGACTAGGAGAGTCCGCAACTCATGTTACAATATTAACCCTTTTCGCAGCCCTTTTTGCATTTGCACACTTTAAAAAATAATTTTAGGCCTGAATATTACTGAAAACTACCAAAATATTATTTATATTTCTGGAGAAAGGGGGGGGGGGCAGGAAATATGGTGCGTGGCCCATGTGGAGTTGGTGGTTGTGTATGAAAGCTGTACAGCAGCTCGGTTGCTTCCACCTGACAGTCAGCTTGTCAGATTTACAATTTACACACATTCCAAGCCATGGTCTTGGGTTGTTTATTATTTTAGTTTATTTATAAATTGGATTCAGCTGTTTCAATCCCCTCCATGGCCCCAGGTATATAAAATCAAGCACCTAGGCATGCAGACTGCTTCTACAAACATTTGTGAAAGAATGGGTCGCTCTCAGGAGCTCAGTGAAATCAAGCATGGTACCGTGATAGGTTGCCACCTGTGCAATATGTCCATCTGTGACATTTCCTGGCTACTAAATATTCCACGATCAACTGATAGTGGTATTATAACAAAGTGGAAGAAACTGGGAACAACAGCAACTCAGCCACCAAGTGATAGAGTGGGGTCAGCACATGCTGAAGCACACAGTGCACAGAAGTCACCAACTGTCCGCAGAGTCTATAGCTAAAGACCTCCAAACTTTGTGTGGCCTTCAGATTAGCACAAAAGTGCGTAGAGAGCTTCATGGAATGGGTTCCCATAGCTAAGCAGCTGCATCCAAGCCTTACATCACCAAGTGCAATGCAAAGCGTTGGATGCATGCCACCACTGGACTCTAGAGCAGTAGAGATGTGTACTCTGGAGTGACCAATCATGCTTCTCTGACATGTCCAGGTTAGGCGGTTGCCAGGAAAACGGTACTTGCCTGACTGCATTGTGCCAAATGTAAAGTTTGGTGCTGGGGGATTATGGTGTGGGGTTGTTTTTCAGGGGTTGGGCTTGGCCCCCTAGTTCCAGTGAAGGGAACTCTTAAGGCGTCAGCATACCAAGACATTTTGGAGATTTTCATGCTCCCAACTATGTGGAAAGTCTGGAGATGGCCCCTTCCTGTTCCAACATGACTGCTCACCAGTGCACAAAGCAAGGTCCATAAAGATATGAATGAGTGAGTTTGGGGTGGAGGAACTTGACTGGCCTGCACAGAGCCTGACCTCAACCCGATAGAACACCTTTGGGATGAATTAGAGTGGAGACTGCGAGCCAGGCCTTCTTGTCTGACATCAGTGCCTGACCTCACAAATGTGCTTCTGGAAAAATGGTTAAACATTCCCATAGACACCCTCCTAAACCTTGTGGACAACTCAATATTGAACCCTACGGACTAAGACATTAAAGTTCATGTGCGTGCAAAGGCAGGCGTCCCAATACTGTTGGCAATATAGTGTATATATGTTTAGAGACACAGGAGTCCATTATGAATTCTTTAAACTATGGGTTTTTAATTTGAGATATTGAATTCTGTAAACAGAGAAGCTAGGGGGAGCCTGAAAAGCTTGTGGAAAGGAGCCTAGTGTATACATATGAAGACACAGAATATGTATATGTAATATTTATTACGGTATTTACCCCACTAAAAATGGTTTTCAATTGCACTTTTAGTTCTAACCATAATAAAAAACAACAAAACCAAAAAGGTTACATGAATAAAAAGAATGCAGGTGTAACAGAGGGGAATGTGGGTACATTAATTTTGACAAATGCAGTCACATGTATACATGCTCATTCGTTATACAAGGGTGCAATTCACCTGCACAGATAGCAGTCATTCTAACACTGAACAAACATTCAAAGAGAGTGAAGGTAATCAGTTCACTGGGTCCCATAAAATGTTGCAGTGACATCATGTGCCTGCAGTGCATACAATTTTTACAGCTGACAGATACATAAAATATAATAAAAGACAGATGGAAGGTAGCTGTGACACAACCCTTCCTGGGCAAAACTAATATTTTTCCAAGTTCATCATGCTACTATTTGAAGTTGCAGTATATAAAGAATTTATATTTGGCAGTCTTATGTTCTTGGAACTGGTCTTCTGTGTCTTACCTCTCAACCTCTGCCCTCTGGCTAGGATTGGTGATGGCAGCTATGTACTGCATAATGTATTTACTGGCTTCAGTCTTACCGGCGCCGCTCTCCCCTGCAACACACAGCAAAAGGATAAGTACATAGGACAATGAAAAAGATACACAAAGGCATATGGGCAGAGTGGTGGTACAGTAGCTACTAATTATACCCTGCAGCAATGAAGTGCTAGGCCCAAATCTCACAATACCATATCTGCAGGAAGCACCCCCCAAGGCTTCAGTTTCTTTCCGAAATCTTGGAGTTGGACTGTAAGGATAATTATTGCAGATAGAAAACCTATGAGTATGCAGTGACACTGAGCGTAAATTCACACAAACACAGGGGGAGAGAACGAACCAACTCCATGCAGATATCAGATGCCATGGTACACAATATATTGTTTTCCAGGATCATAATCTAGTGAGCCTTTTTGTGTCTCACATTGCATTATTCAAGTTGATACTCTAAGGGGCACCCTTGCAGCTCTTTTTTCTGTACACAACACAACCCAATTGCAGGGTTTACAGCTTGTTGGCAGTCTCCCCAGCCATGTGTTGTGTATGGGGGAAATCACAGAGAGAATAGAGGTGGAAGAAAGCTGAGAGCCCATCCGATCCAGCCATCCACAAGTATCAAGAGAAGGGAGTTCCTTAAAGCAGTCATCTACACCCGTCCATGCCTTAAAGGGATCTCTGGCCAGCTGGATCCTTTATTTCCTGTGAGCTCCTGACAGCACCACCTTGCCTAGAGGGAGGATTATCCTGGACCAGGATCATATCCAACTCCTAAAGGGGACCTCTATAGATTCAGTTAATGCGTATATACATTACGCATCTGGTGAGTGTGTAATTTTACCACACTATTTGGAGCACCATTACTGGATTCTACTGTTATTCCGCATCCAGATCTGCACAGACTGTCACTTTTTATTTGATTTTGGCATATCATTTTAACATATTTATATGTTTACGGACATTACATATATTTTCAGTATTTTAGCGCTGCACCCATTTTATTTAGTTTTGGATGAGGTTTTATATTGATTGCCTTTGGTGCCTTAGCTGCTGATTAGAGAGCGCTCACTTTTTTACTGTACTTTTACAGTTTCACCAGCATCGACTGATTTTTTCAACAATGTGGAGAATTGCTACGCTCCCCTTTATTTTTTGCTCTCAGGCCCAGGACACCTATACATTTGTGGTGCAGAATTCAATAAAGTGTTCAGTATAAAAATATAATATTACAGCGCAAAAAACAAACAAACAATGGTGATTAAATCAACAGTGATGAAACAATAAACAAAGTCCACTGTCCCAAATAAACGGGTGATTCAATCAAACAATGGTGCCAAAACGAAATGTGTTCTTTAAGGGATATCCCTGCACCATCCATGATGGCTTAAGAGTCAAACAGTCAGTTTTGACTCTTAAGCCATACAATCTAAGAATCCATTGTATCTGGTGAGTGTGGATTGTACCGAAAGGCGATCACGGATGGTGTGGAGATATCATTTAAAAAGGAACACATTTCATTTTGGCACCGTTTTTTGATTGGAGCACTGAATCACCGCTTATTTGGGACAGTGGACTTTTTATTGTTTCATCACTGTTGATTTAATCACTATTGTGTGTTTGATTTTTGTGCTGTAATATTATATTTTTATGTTTGGAGTTTTTACCTTGTGAACAGCAGCATTAATTAGTTGGAGTATATAATAATTAAAAAAAACTTTTTTTAGGCGCGGGTTAATTTATACACATTTTTTTTAAAGTGTTCAGTATGTTTGATAACATGACAACTTTCATTTGCTTTTCGATTTTTAAGAGAATAGATTTTCTCAAAAAAAATGCATTCACTGTTAGAAATTTGTTAGAGAACATTTTTGCATCCTGCTCATTTGAATTTTCTCATCTCTGCAGTCAAAAATGAAAATTGATTTGACCCCACTAGTGATTAGAAAATCAAATAAATATTCTTAAAACAAAATTTTTTTAACAAAATTCTGCTGTTATATGGCCAGCTTTACATATACAACAAGAAGTAGGAGGAAATCTCTCCACAGATTTAACATAGATAGAACACTTATAACAAGTGTTATAGGAACAAGTGTTGCCTTCAGAAAATTCCCCTTCTATTCCTGTCAGTGTTACAACTGCAAATTTGGGATTTTCTATGACTTTTTAGCTATAGTTACCATGGAAGAATAGAGAGGGTGAATCTCTCTAGAGGCACAGACAGCCCACAATAGGTGTTCTAACTCTTCCACACTATCCAAAAATAAAAAAAAATGTGATTTCTATATACTTTAAATTACAGTGGAAAGCCGGTACACTTTCTAGACTCTAGAGGTCATTTGCTGACTCCAAAATATCTTGGTACCCCAGCAACAAAATCTTACTTGCATAGTTCCTTGGTCAGCTCTAGCCTGGTTTGAGATTTCCACCCCCCACCTTGTGGTGTCCCTGTTCTTCCTGTTGCATTCCCAATACCATAAAACAAAACTAAAGCTTCAGCAGAGAGAAGGGATATTCTATATCAGGTGTCCAGCCAATGTGCCACCGGAGTCCCCAGGAGATATAAGAAATCGATTCAATTCTCTATAAAATAAAGTGAAATATTAGCATTGGGTGGGCTAATCATTTAGAGAGAGTAACCGTGGTGTCCAAAATTCAGTTTTCTGAAGTCACATTAGTAAAAGGTGACATTTGGTTGTCACGGGCTACTGCACCACATATTAAATAACTTTACAGGTGTAAAATATACAGATATACAGTGATGCTAGAACAGAGAATTCACAAAATATTACCTGATATAACTATACAGGTGTCTTTACATCGTCTTTTCATAGCCTTGTATGCAGCATCAGCGATAGAGAAGAGGTGAGGGGGTCTCTCATACAGCTCCCTCCCTTTATACTGTTCAATCACATCTTTCCCATAGATTGGAAGGTTCTTGTAGGGGTTCACCGAGACCACCACTTCCCCAATAAATGTGTAGATTCTTCCCTTTTCAAACCTGCAACAGCAGACAACAGGCCAACTTTAGTTTTTAAAGCAAACATCAGTACAAACTACATATTGCAAAAACCAAAAAAAAAAAAAAAAACAAAAAAAAAAAACCTTTAAAAAAAAAAAATAATAATAATAATAAAAAAAAAAAAGCACCAACACTGGACATCTTAAATAAAACAGATCCCCAGTCAGAAAACGAAATCATCAGCTATCTCACATAATATATTATGGCTAATTGGAACCCCCTGAGCTGCAACAGCATTTGCACTAAAGCTGTGAATCTCTTCCCAACTGCTGAAAGCAACCTCTTCTAATACAAGGAAATGGATGGGTGGAAGAGCCACTGCTGATACCCAGGCATATTGTGTACAATGGGTAAGGTGTTGTCCAGAAAAGTTATCTCTGTTCTTCATGATTTCTGCATGACCTTCTTGGAGATTGTGAAGTAGGAGATCTTGGAGCAGGACTATCGTGGAGATTGTGAAGTAGGAGATCTTGGAGCAGGACTATCGTGGAGATTGTGAAGTAGGAGATCTTGGAGCAGGACTATCGTGGAGATTGTGAAGTAGGAGATCTTGGAGCAGGACTATCGTGGAGATTGTGAAGTAGGAGATCTTGGAGCAGGACTATCTTGGAGATTGTGAAGTAGGAGATCTTGGAGCAGAACTATCGTGGAGATTGTGAAGTAGGAGATCTTGGAGCAGGACTATCGTTGAGATTGTGAAGTAGGAGATCTTGGAGCAGGACTATCTTGGAGATTGTGAAGTAGGAGATCTTGGAGCAGGACTATCGTGGAGATTGTGAAGTAGGAGATCTTGGAGCAGGACTATCGTGGAGATTGTGAAGTAGGAGATCTTGGAGCAGGACTATCGTGGAGATTGTGAAGTAGGAGATCTTGGAGCAGGACTATCGTGGAGATTGTGAAGTAGGAGATCTTGGAGCAGGACTATCTTGGAGATTGTGAAGTAGGAGATCTTGGAGCAGGACTATCGTGGAGATTGTGAAGTAGGAGATCTTGGAGCAGGACTATCGTTGAGATTGTGAAGTAGGAGATCTTGGAGCAGGACTATCGTTGAGAATGTGAAGTAGGAGATCTTGGAGCAGGACTATCTTGGAGATTGTGAAGTAGGAGATCTTGGAGCAGGACAATCTTGGAGATCGTGAAGTAGATCTTGGAACAGGACTATAAAGTAGGACTTTCTTGGAGATCTTGGAGCAGGACTGAAGTAGGACAGTGGGAATATGCAGCATAAGTTTTGCCTTGTATATAGACCTGGCTGTCGTTGGGTAGCACAGACCACATTCGAAAAACCCATTGGTTAGAATCTACATTGTCATACATCCTTTGTCGCTAGTTTCTGTTTCAAACTGGTTTAGGATGGCTGCTTTATTGAAACTGGGATACACCTACCAAAAAAAAAAAAAAAAAAAAAAACAGCACAGGGGCAGGTGTACAGTTATGTAATATTCTCTCAGAAAGTGTAAAATCCATTTAAATACTAGTAAAGTTAACTTTAATGCCACAGCATGTAGGCCTCCTGCATATGGCTGAATAAAGCATTGCATGTGTACACATGCACGTAGGTGCATTGTTGTCTATGAAACAATGCACACTGCTGTGTAAAGATCCGTAATGCATTCAAAGCTGTAGAAAAATAAATAAATAAAAGTCTACATTTCAGTGCAGTAATACTCAGGTATATGCAAGCATTTGCACCTAAATTGAAAAAGTAGAAGATGAAGAAGAATTTTAAATGTGTATATGTGTACACACATTTACATGCCTGTACGTGTGTATACAGGAGGTCTTTATGGAACATAATAGCCAGCACGATCCTGCATATAAACATTAGTAAATGATAGCATCCATGTACAAGCTTCCTTGCTGATTATGTAGTACAGTACCATAACCTGTCACTAGAGGGAGGCAATTTACAGAATAAATAAATGAGTTGGAAATCTCCATCTAGACAGAGGAAGTCTAAAGAATTTACCTTGAGACAACTACTTCATGTAATGGCCAATCAAGCGATCATTTACATGTCTGCATTGCGACCATGCACAATATTTGCATTAATACATTGCAGTGCTATTCATTTTTACCCACTTGACCTCCAGAAGGTTTTACCCCCTTCATAACCAGGCCATTTTTTTTTGCTATGCAGAACTGTGCTACTTTAACTGGCAGTTGCATGTTCATGCAACACTGTACCCAAATGAAATTTATAGCATTTTTTTCACACAAAAACAGCTTTCTTTTAGTGGTTTTTAACCATCACTGGGTTTTTTTATTTTCTCATTAGATAAATGAAAAAAATACAGAAAATTCTGAAAAACACACAACTTTCTTAGTTTCTGTTATAAAATGTTGCAAACAATCTTTCTTCATAAATTTGGGCCAAAATGTATTCTGCTCAGGGGCGGACTGACCATTTGGAAACTCGGGCACTGCCCGAGGGCCCAGGGTCAGTAGGGGGCCCCATGAGATGCGCCTGGTACCTTTTTCATAGGCTTTTTGAGTTTGCACAAGGACACAGGGGCCCCATGATCCCCTATTGCCCGGGGGCCCATGAGTTGTCAGTCCGCCCCTGATTATGCTACATTTCTTTGGTAAAAATACCCTAAACCAATGTATGGTATTTAGTCTGTGTGAAAGTTATAGAGTCTACAAACTATAGATTTGAACATTGATCAGTCCTAATGGACTGATGGCCTATCTAATTTCTTGAGGCCCCAAAATGCCAAGAAATTACAAAATACCCCCCAAATTACTCCTTTTTTCAGAAAGTAGACATTCTGGGGTATTTAGTAAGAGGCATGGTGAGTTCTTTGAAGTTGTAATTTTTTGTCACAATTTTTTGGAAAATGAAAAAAAAAAAAAAAAATTATCCCCACAATTTTAAACATTTTTATACATACTGACACCAGTGCACTACAGCATCATCATATAACCGGTGTGGCTGTGAGCAGGGAACACTGACTGGTCACCATATGTAAAAAAAATAAACATTTTTTTCTTTTCAATTTTTAGAAATATTTTATTACAGTGGAAAATTTTTTGAAAATGAAGAAATGAATAATCATCTGACTGGTGAGGTGGTGATAAGGGATACCAACTGGTGACAGTTTGTTAAAAAAAAAAAAAATGTATGTATAAAAAAAAAAAAGAAAAGTTAAGAAAATGTAATAAAAATTTATATTTATATTTATATATATATATATATATATATATATATATATATATATATATATATATATATATATATAATATATATATTTGAATTCAATTTTCTTAACTTTTCTCTTTTTTTTTTAGTTACAGTTCCTATTTTTTTTTTAACATACTGTCATCATAGTGACACTGTGCTTCTCTGGGGGGGGGGGGGGGGGGGGGGGGGGGGGGGGGGGGGGGGGGGGGGGATTTATTTTTTTTTAACTGTTATTGCTTATACAGCTTGCTTACTATTGTGATGCTGTGATTGGCTACAGCTATCACATGGTACAAGAACACTGTGAATGGCCTTGTACTATGTGATCAATAAAGCTACAGCTATCACATGGTACAAGAACGTTGTGAATGGCCTTGTACTATGTGATCAATAAGCTGTCACAATTGGCTGCCATTCATGACAATTTTGTTTACATGTTATCATGTGATCCCTATGATTGGTCATAGCGATTACATGATACCCCAGCCGCTCAAGTCACCACGTACTACTGCTGGTCAGTAAGAGGTTATTAGCACCCCAACGCAAGGAAACATACATGCATTGTAACATGCTGCAGCAAAAATTAGTGTTGTGTATCAGAAGCGCATGCATTTCTAGGGGTTGCCTTAATGCAACGCACATAACAGGTTTCATAAAGCATGGTAAAGTGCATACATATATATATATTATTTGTTTTTTTTAGGTTTTGTTGCCAAGAGATTAAGTGGATGGCTTCAAGATAATAACATGCATATCCCTGGTGTGTAATTCATCGAACATCTCCTTTGAGCTTCATTTACTTAAAAAGGACTGTAAATATACAGCATGATGTGAACAGTGGAAACATTTCTTTTTTTATTGCTCTTTATACTGGTTGGGGAGGTTTTCACTCTCTTCCTGTCCCAGTGACAACGGTAACCAAGACAGGAAAAAAGGGAAAGTTCTAATAAGGGCACACACATCAATACAATTACTAAAGTGAAGAAGAATTCGATCCTCTGTCAGGTTTTAATTCACATTGTCTTCATCCCTGTTGGGGGAGATACCTCTTCTGTCAAAGTCACCAGGAGAAAGGTGAGGGGAAATTCTCCCAGCAGGGGCACATACAACAATAAAAACCTGACAGATTAAGATATACATGATATGGGACTATCTTTATGCACTGAATGTCTTTTCTCTATTTAGGTACAATTACAAAGCATGAGATGACTGAATATGGAAAGCTATGTAAATGTGGTATGACCTGAGCTACAAAAGGTAGCCTGTATTACCACCTATTCATTGTGTATATGTAAGCTGTGATTTATTACACTGAAAGTGCTATTGTTCAAGACATTCTATTAGGGTTATTGTTACTTTAAAAAACAATAAAAAATACTGAAACAAAAAAATCTGACAGTCTCTGGAATTCATAAAGGGTCGTCAGCTTTACTGAACAAATAGTTTCTTTAGTTCACCAAATATCTGGTGAAATAAAGAAACTACTTGTTCAGTAAAGCTGATGACTCCTACCCAATTTTACATTTTTCCTTCCCAGCACCTTGGGCCAATTGGACTACCAATGGGTTCTTTTTCGCAATCTCCTTTTGCACACAACCATCTCCTTGCACCTGCCTAGAACCCAAGAGAAGACCCAGGATGGGAACACCCAGGGCTTAGAGCAGTGGTTCTCAACCTGTGGGTCGTGATCCCTTTGGGGGTCAAACGACCCTTTCACAGGGGTCGCCTAAGACCATCTGGGAAAACACATTTCCGATGTGTAAAGAGCAGCTACTGTGTAGAAAGCAGCTACTGTGT